TTTCCACTGTCCACTGTCTGTGTTAGTGACCAGAAAGTAAGTACCATGTGTCTGTGTTAGTGACCAGAAAGTAAGTACCATGAGTTTGTGTTAGTGACCAGAAAGTAAGTACCATGTGTGTGTGTTAGTGACCAGAAAGTAAGTACCATGTGTCTGTGTTAGTGACCAGAAAGTAAGTACCATGTGTGTGTGTTAGTGACCAGAAAGTAAGTACCATGTGTGTGTGTTAGTGACCAGAAAGTAAGTACCATGTGTCTGTGTTAGTGACCAGAAAGTAAGTACCATGTGTGTGTGTTAGTGACCAGAACGTAAGTACCATGTGTCTGTGTTAGTGACCAGAACGTAAGTACCATGTGTCTGTGTTAGTGACCAGAAAGTAAGTACCATGTGTTTGTGTTAGTGACCAGAAAGTAAGTACCATGTGTCTGTGTTAGTGACCAGAAAGTAAGTACCATGTGTCTGTGTTAGTGACCAGAAAGTAAGTACCATGTGTCTGTGTTAGTGACCAGAGAGTAAGTACCACGTGTCATGTTGATGTCTGTGTGTGTTGTTGTGTAGATATCTTTGTGTGTTGTTGTGTTGATGTCTGTGTGTGTTGTTGTGTGGATGTCTTTGTGTGTTGTTGTGTTGATGTCTGTGTGTGTTGTTGTGTTGATGTCTGTGTGTGTTGTTGTGTTGATGTCTGTGTGTGTTGTTGTGTGGATGTCTGTGTGTTGTTGTGTGGATGTGTGTGTGTTATTGTGTGGATGTTTGTGTGTGTTGTTGTGTGGATGTCAGTGTGTGTTGTTGTGTGGATGTCTGTGTGTGTTGTTGTGTGGATGTCTGTGTGTGTTGTTGTGTGGATGTCTGTGTGTGTTGTTGTGTGGATGTCTGTGTGTGTTGTTGTGTGGATGTCTATGTGTGTTGTTGTGTGGATGTCTATGTGTGTTGCTGTTTGGATGTCTGTGTGTGTTGTTGTGTAGATGTCTGTGTGTGTTGTTGTGTGGATGTCTGTGTGTGTTGTTGTGTAGATGCCTGTGTGTGTTGTTGTGTAGATGTCTGTGTGTGTTGTCGTGTTGATGTCTGTGTGTGTTGTTGTGTGGATGTCTGTGTGTATTGTTGTGTGGATGTCTGTGTGTGTTGTTGTGTAGATGTCTGTATGTGTTGCTGTGTAGATGCCTCTGTGTGTTGTTGTGTGGATGTCTGTGTGTGTTTTTGTGTGGATGTCTGTGTGTGTTGTTGTGTGGATGTCTGTGTGTGTTGTTGTATTGATGTCTGTGTGTGTTGTTGTGTAGATATATGTGTGTGTTGTTGTGTAGATGCCTGTGTGTGTTGTTGTGTGGATGTATGTGTGTGTTGTTGTGTGGATGTCTGTGTGTATTGTTGTGTGGATGTCTGTGTGTGTTGTTGTGTAGATGTCTGTGTGTGTTGTTGTGTAGATGCCTGTGTGTGTTGTTGTGTAGATGTCTGTGTGTGTTGTTGTGTGGATGTTAGAAACACAGACACATCAAAGAGAAAGTGTGGCTAAAATATTTTTATTTATTTTTATAAACAGGTTAGAGACCAGAGAGAGACCAGAGAGAGACCAGAGAGAGACCAGAGAGAGACCAGAGAGAGACCAGAGAGAGACCAGAGAGAGAGACCAGAGAGAGACCAGAGAGAGACCAGAGAGAGACCAGAGAGAGACCAGAGAGAGACCAGAGAGAGAGACCAGAGAGAGACTAAAGAGGGACTGGAGAGCAGCAAGAGACCAGAGACCAGAAAGAGAGGTAGCAGAGAGAGATACCAGGAAGACTCCAGATTTACAGTATTCGGCCCCCTTGAACCTTTCAACATTTCGCCACATTTCAGGCTTCAAACATAAAGATATAAAATTTTACGTTTTTGTCATGAATCAACAACAAGTGGGACACAATCATGAAGTGGAACGAAATTTATTGGATAATTTAAACTTTTTTAACAAATAAAAAACTGAAAAGTAGGGCGTGCATTATTATTCGGCCCCTTTACTTTCAGTGCAGCAAACTCAGTCCAGAAGTTCAGTGAGGATCTTTGAATGATCCAATGTTGTCCTAAATGACTGATGATGATAAATAGAATGCACCTGTGTGTAATCAAGTCTCCGTATAAATGCACCTGCTCTTTGATAGTCTCAGGGTTCTGTTTAAAGCGCAGAGAGAACCATGAAGACAAAGGAACACACCAGGCAGGTCCGAGATACTGTTGTGGAGATGTTTAAAGCCGGATTTGGATACAAAAAGATTTCCCAAGCTTTAAACATCTCAAGGAGCACTGTGCAAGCAGTTATATTGAAAAGGAAGGAGTATCAGACCACTGCAAATCTACCAAGACCCGGCCGTCCCTCCAAACTTTCATCTCAAACAAGGAAAAGACTGATCAGAGATGCAGCCAAGAGGCCCATGATCACTCTGGATGAACTGCAGATAACTACAGCTGAGGTGGGAGAGTCTGTCCATAGGACAACAATCAGTCGTGCACTGCACAAATCTGGCCTTTATGGAAGAGTGGCAAGAAGAAAGCCATTTCTCAAAGATATCCATAAAAAGTATCGTTTAAAGTTTGCCACAAGCCACCTGGGAGACACACCAAACATGTGGAAGAAGGTGCTCTGGTCAGATGAAACCAGAATCGAACTTTTTGGCCACAATGCAAAACGATATGTTTGGCGTAAAAGCAACACAGCTCATCACCCTGAACACACCATCCCCACTGTCAAACATGGTGGTGGCAGCATCATGGTTTGGGCCTGCTTTTCTTCAGCAGGGACAGGGAAGATGGCTAGAATTGATGGGAAGATGGATGGAGCCAAATACAGGACCATTCTGGAAGAAAACCTGTTGGAGTCTGCAAAAGACCTGAGACTGGGACGGAGATTTATCTTCCAACAGGACAATGATCCAAAACATAAAGCCAAATCTACAATGGAATGGTTCACAAATAGACGTATCCAGGTGTTAGAATGGCCAAGTCAAAGTCCAGACCTGAATCCAATCGAGAATCTGTGGAAAGAGCTGAAGACTGCTGTTCACAAACGCTCTCCATCCAACCTCACTGAGCTCCAGCTGTTTTGCAAGGAAGCATGGGCAAGAATTCCAGTCTCTCGATGGGCAAAACTGATAGACATACCCCAAGCGACTTTCAGCTGTAATTTCAGCAAAAGGTGGCGCTAAAATGTATTAGTGCAAGGGGGCCGAAAAATATTGCACGCCCCACTTTTCAGTTTTTTATTTGTTAAAAAGGTTTAAATTATCCAATAAATTTCGTTCCACTTCACGATTGTGTCCCACTTGTTGTTGATTCTTGACAAAAAATTAAATTTTTATATCTTTATGTTTGAAGCCTGAAATGTTGAAAGGTTCAAGGGGGCCGAATACTTTTGCAAGGCACTGTAGAAACCAGAGAGACTATAGAGAAATCTGCCAAACCAGTTGAGTCGGTTGTGACGACTTCCTCCTTGGTCTTGTGTGTTTCAGAGCAACAAGACAGAGACTTCTTCAGGAACAATAAGGATCAGTCTGTCTGTGTTAGTGACCAGAAAGTAAGTACCATGTGTCTGTGTTAGTGACCAGAAAGTAAGTACCATGTGTCTGTGTTAGTGACCAGAAAGTAAGTACCATGTGTCTGTGTTAGTGACCAGAAAGTAAGTACCATGTGTCTGTGTTAGTGACCAGAAAGTAAGTACCATGTGTCTGTGTTAGTGACCAGAAAGTAAGTACCATGTGTCTGTGTTAGTGACCAGAAAGTAAGTACCATGTGTCTGTGTTAGTGACCAGAAAGTAAGTACCATGTGTCTGTGTTAGTGACCAGAAAGTACCATGTGTCTGTGTTAGTGACCAGAAAGTAAGAACCATGTGTCTGTGTTAGTGACCAGAAAGTAAGTACCATGTGTCTGTGTTAGTGACCAGAAAGTAAGAACCATGTGTCTGTGTTAGTGACCAGAAAGTAAGAACCATGTGTCTGTGTTAGTGACCAGAAAGAAAGAACCATGTGTCTGTGTTAGTGACCAGAAAGTAAGTACCATGTGTCTGTGTTAGTGACCAGAAAGTAAGTACCATGTGTCTGTGTTAGTGACCAGAAAGTAAGTACCATGTGTCTGTGTTAGTGACCAGAAAGTAAGTACCATGTGTCTGTGTTAGGGACCAGAAAGTAAGTACCATGTATCTGTGTTAGTGACTAGAAAGTAAGTACCATGTGTGACGTGTTGATGTGTGTGTTAGTGACCAGAAAGTAAGTACCATGTGTCTGTGTTAGGGACCAGAAAGTAAGTACCATGTGTCTGTGTTAGTGACCAGAAAGTAAGTACCATGTGTCTGTGTTAGTGACCAGAAAGTAAGTACCATGTGTCTGTGTTAGTGACCAGAAAGTAAGTACCATGTGTCTGTGTTAGTGACCAGAATGTAAGTACCATGTGTCTGTGTTAGTGACCAGAAAGTAAGTACCATGTGTCTGTGTTAGTGACCAGAAAGTAAGTACCATGTGTCTGTGTTGGTGACCAGAAAGTGTCTGTGTTAGTGACCAGTAAGTGACCAGAAAGTAAGTACCATGTGTCTGTGTTAGTGACCAGAAAGTAAGTACCATGTGTCTGTGTTAGTGACCAGAAAGTAAGTACCATGTGTCTGTGTTAAAGTACCATGTGTCTGTGTTAGTGACCAGAAAGTAAGTACCATGTGTCTGTGTTAGTGACCAGAAAGTAAGTACCATGTGTCTGTGTTAGTGACCAGAAGGTAAGTACCATGTGTCTGTGTTAGTGACCAGAGAGTAAGTACCATGTGTCTCTGTTAGTGACCAGAAAGTAAGTACCATGTGTCTGTGTTAGTGACCAGAAAGTAAGTACCATGTGTCTATGTTAGTGACCAGAAAGTAAGTACCATGTGTGACGTGTTAATGTGTGACGTATGTATACAACAGTTACCATAGGAACAGTGGGCGGAGTCAAACACTGTTTTATTGTGTAGGAGTCTGGACTGACCACCAGCAGGGCGGCGACAGAGAGACTGAGCATGGACCAGAGAGAGCACTGTCCTCCCACCACCAGAAGGGCGGCGTCACTGAGCTCCATTGATCGATTCATTAACTTTAAAAAGGAGGAAGATCATGGGTAAGTCTGACTGTGATTCATGTGTGTCTGAGGCTAAGCAGGTCAGGGCCTGGGCGGTCATCTCCTGTTGTTCCTCTGTATCGTTGAACTGATTTTTTAGTTTTCAGATCCACAGCTCATTTTGATTTGAGGAATATTTCTGCTGTTAATTACCATGTGTGACGTGTTGATGTGTCTGTGTTAGTGACCAGAAAGTAAGTACCATGTGTGACGTGTTGATGTGTCTGTGTTAGTGACCAGAAAGTAAGTACCATGTGTGACGTGTTGATGTGTCTGTGTTAGTGACCAGAAAGGAAGTACCATGTGTGACGTGTTGATGTGTCTGTGTTAGTGACCAGAAAGGAAGTACCATGTGTGACGTGTTGATGTGTCTGTGTTAGTGACCAGAAAGTAAGTACCATGTGTGACGTGTTGATGTGTCTGTGTGAGTGACCAGAAAGTAAGTACCATGTGTGACGTGTTGATGTGTCTGTGTGAGTGACCAGAAAGTAAGTACCATGTGTCACGTGTTGATGTGTCTGTGTTAGTGACCAGACAGTAAGTACCATGTGTGACGTGTTGATGTGTCTGTGTGAGTGACCAAAAAGGAAGTACCATGTGTGACGTGTTGATGTGTCTGTGTTAGTGACCAGAAAGTAAGTACCATGTGTGACGTGTTGATGTGTCTGTGCTAGTGACCAGAAAGTAAGTACCATGTGTGACGTGTTGATGTGTCTGTGTGAGTGACCAGAAAGTAATTACCATGTGTGACGTGTTGATGTGTCTGTGTTAGTGACCAGAAAGTAAGTACCATGTGTGACGTGTTGATGTGTCTGTGAGTGACCAGAAAGTAAGTACCATGTGTGACGTGTTGATGTGTCTGTGTTAGTGACCAGAAAGTAAGTACCATGTGTGACGTGTTGATGTGTCTGTGTTAGTGACCAGAAAGTATACGTACCATGTGTGACGGTTTGATGTGTCTGTGCTAGTGACCAGAAAGTAAGTACCATGTGTCTGTGTTAGTGATTGTTTATGAACAACTATAAACAACGACGTCACTCAAAGATCCTCCTGTAGATGGAACTGCAGAAGTGAAATGTCTGGGCTCAACCAGGACTAAACCAGGACTAAACCAGGACTAAACCAAGACTAAACCAGGACTAAACCAGGACTAAACCAGGACTAAACCAGGACTAAACCAGGACTAAACCAGGACTAAACCAGGACTAAACCAGGACTAAACCAAGACTAAACCAGGACTAAACCAGGACTAAACCAGGGACTAAACCAGGACTAAACCAGGACTAAACCAGGACTAAACCAGGACTAAACCAGGACTAAACCAGGACTAAACCAGGACTAAACCAGGACTAAACCAGGACTAAACCAGGACTAAACCATGATAAAGAGGAGCTGGTCCTTGGTAAGTCCCACTCCTTGTATCAGCAGCTCACAGACACAGTGTCCTGAAGACATGGACAGAGCTCATACCAGGTGTAGATACCAGGTGTAGATGATATCTGTGTGTTTGTGGACGTGACGCAGCCTGTGGTGAAGGCCTCTCCAACACTGAAGCTCTCTTCTTCTGTGTCTCAGGATCCTCCACAAACTTCAGTCTGGACCTGGTCCCAGATGTGAGTCCCTCAGGAGTGACCAGTCTATGGGAGAACCACTGAAGTTCAGGAGTGACCAGTCTATGGGAGAACCACTGAAGTTCAGGAGTGACCAGTCTATGGGAGAACCACTGAAGTTCAGGAGTGACCAGTCTAAGGCATTATCATGGAACTTCAGGAGTGACCATTCTATGGGAGAACCAGAGAACTTCAGGACAGAGTGAGTCTCATGGACATAAGTGTCTCAGTCTCATGGACATACAGTGGGGCAAAAAAGTATTTAGTCAGCCACCGATTGTGCAAGTTCTCCCACTAAAAATAATGACAAATGTCAAACGATTACTATAGGTCTTTACCAGGTTTGCACACACAGTAGCTGGTATTTTGGCCCATTCCTCCATGTTTCTGGGCTGTCGCCGAGCAACACGGACTTTCAACTCCCTCCACAGATTTTCAATGGGGTTGAGGTCTGGAGACTGGCTAGGCCACTCCAGGACTTTCAAATGCTTCTTACGGAGCCACTCCTTCGTTGCCCGGGCGGTGTGTTTGGGATCATTGTCATGCTGGAAGACCCAGCCACGTTTCATCTTCAAAGCTCTCACTGATGGAAGGAGGTTTTGGCTCAAAATCTCACGATACATGGCCCCATTCATTCTTTCCTTAACACGGATCAGTCGTCCTGTCCCCTTAGCAGAAAAACAGCCCCAAAGCATGACGTTTCCACCCCCATGCTGCACAGTAGGTATGCTGTTCTTGGGATGCAACTCAGTATTCTTCTTCATCCAATCACGACGAGTTGAGTTTATACCAAACAGTTGTACTTTGGTTTCATCTGACCACATGACATTCTCCCAATCCTCTGCTGTATCATCCATGTGCTCTCTGGCAAACTTCAGACGGGCCTGGACATGCACTGGCTTCAGCAGGGGGACACGTCTGGCACTGCAGGATTTGATTCCCTGTCGTCGTAGTGTGTTACTGATGGTAACCTTTGTTACTTTGGTCCCAGCTCTCTGCAGGTCATTCACCAGGTCCCCCCGTGTGGTTCTGGGATTTTTGATCACCGTTCTCATGATCATTTTGACCCCACAGGATGAGATCTTGTGTGGAGCCCCAGATCGAGGGAGATTATCAGTGGTCTTGTATGTCTTCCATTTTCTGATAATTGCTCCCACAGTTGATTTATTCACACCAAGCTGCTTGCCTATTGTAGATTCACTCTTCCCAGTCTGGCGCAGGTCTACAATTCTTTTCCTGGTGTCCTTCGACAGCTCTTTGGTCTTGGCCATAGTGGAGTTTGGAGTCTGACTGTTTGAGGCTGTGGACAGGTGTCTTTTATACAGATGAGTTCAAAAAGGTGCCATTAATACAGGTAACGAGTGGAGGACAGAAGAGCTTCTTAAAGAAGAAGTTACAGGTCTGTGAGAGCCAGAGATCTTCCTTGTTTGAAGTGACCAAAACATTATTTTCCACCATAATTTACAAATAAATTCTTCAAAAATTCTACAATGTGAATTCCTGGATTTTTTTTTCACATTCTGTCTCTCACAGTTGAATTGTACCTATGATGAAAATTACAGACCTGTCATTATTTTAAATGGGAGAACTTGCACAATCGGTGGCTGACTAAATACTTTTTGGCCCCACTGTAAGTGTCTCAGTCTCATGGACATAAGTGTCTCAGTCTCATGGACATAAGTGTCTCAGTCTCATGGACATAAGTGTCTCAGTCTCATGGACATAAGTGTCTCAGTCTCATGGACATAAGTGTCTCAGTCTCATGGACATAAGTGTCTCAGTCTCATGGACATAAGTGTCTCAGTCTCATGGACATAAGTGTCTCTGTCTCATGGACATAAGTGTCTCAGTCTCATGGACATAAGTGTCTCTGTCTCTCCACAGAGCGGCTGCAGATGTCTCCACTGGTCCGCACCATGGCTCTCACCTGGTCTCCATATTTAAGGTCTGTCATTCAGTCGTTTGTAGATGTTGAGCTGAAGGACTAGTTTCACACAGATGTGACTCATGTCCATGTGTCCTGTTCTCTCTGTATTATACACACACTACACAAAGCTTCAGCAACGCACAAAACAACACGCACACAAACCTGTGACACACTCTGACTTCAGGAGAAAAGACTGGATTAGTCTTTATTGTCTGTGACAATTTGTCTTCAAGGTTCAAGGTGACTTTATTTGTACCCGTGGGTAGATTCTTTTTTTGCAGTTAAAAAAGAGAGACGCAATAGATAAGTTAAAAATAAAATAAAATAATAATATTGATAATTATAATGAAAATAGTAATAATTAAAGCCGCAAGCGGCGTTAAAAGGCCTTGCCACTCTCGCGACCGCCTCCCGGGCGCCAATCCCACAAGTGTCACGTGGCGTACTCGCCGACGAATTGGCAGCCCAATCCGACCAGGATTACGTACATAAAAGCTCATTAATAGGATAAAGTGCGACCCTAGTGGTCACGTCTGGGACATGCACTCTCTGCGTAGGATAGTATTTTGCTCTCACGAACGTAAAGAATTCATTGTGCGACTTAAGTGAGGATTGGAAAAGTTAAGGTCAGAAGCGTTCCATAGGTGGCGCTATAGAGTCATATAAGGTGTGTATTTTCACACCATTACGCTCAGGCCATTACCAACTGTTAGCTCTGTTCAGCTCTGTAGGTCTGAGCCTGTGGCCCTCAGGGCTCAGCGAAAACGGCCAAAACGAAGGCCTTATTCGCCATGGCGAGGGACGAAAACGGTGATGATTTTCTAACCTTTTTTTGATGATTGTATAACTTCAATCCGTCCAGATTAGGAAATGACGTGGTAGAACTCTGTGTGATGAAAAACCAGGGACTAGTTCAAAGTAAAAAAGGAAAAGTCAAATTAGCGGCGAAACTTCAGCCCATCATGGCCGACTTCCTGTTGGTCCCAGAGTGAGGCCCAGAGAGAGTTTTATGCTCGTCTCATAGAGATCTATCACTGATCTGAATTTCATGTACCTACTCCAAAATATGCATGCCTGGCTCCCACAGGCTTTGCAAATTTGACTTTTCCAGGGGGCGCTATCGAATCGCCTTTTGTCGTTTTTGACCCCCCATGTTCAGACTTTTGTGCCTGTCTTCAGGGTCAAAAATCAAATTGATCTTGCGGAAAAATAATAATTTGAAACCGACGAATGACAGTAGGCCTCCCCAATACAATAATAATAAGGTAAAAGTGGTCCAAAGGTACAAAGTCAGGACTCAGGAGCACAGGTACACTACAGGCAGATCCTCTGTACCTGTGTCCTGCAGCACAGGGACACTACAGGCAGATCCTCTGTACCTGTGTGCTGCAGCACAGGGACACTACAGGCAGTGATCCTCTGTACCTGTGTGCTGTAGCACAGGGACACTACATGCAGCGATCCTCTGTACCTATGTGCTGTAGCACAGGGACACTACAGGCAGTGATCCTCTGTACCCAGGCCCGTTGCAAGGGGGGTGCGAGGCCCTGTGCGAACTTGAAACGCGAGGCCCTGCCCTGACACCTTTTTCCCAGATCTCAGGTCAGTTTTCCCGTGTTTAATCTTTGATTTTAGCACAGAGATCAGCATATGGTCCAATACCGCATTCTCTGATCGTCCATTGAAATCTGTGTGTGAAACAGTGAGCTGGAGAGGAAGCACATTTGTGTTCGTTATTCATTCAGAGACGTACAGTACAGAGCAAAAGTGTGGACACCCTCTCTCCTTCACTGAGTTCTTTTCATAACTACTGCTGTAGACCCGCACCAGGCTGTGTAAGGGCTGTTTGACCAATAAGGAGAGAGACCGGACCTGAACCCAGTCCAGATGGTTTTGGACCTGAACCCAGTCCAGATGGTTTTGGACCCGAACCCAGTCCAGATGGTTTTGGACCTGAACCCAGTCCAGATGGTTTTGGGGCTGGACCACAGATGCAGAAGGGGCCAACAAGTGCTAAGCATCAGGGGAACTCCTTCAAGACTGTTGGAGACCATTTCAGGTCCTGTTGAAGCTCATCCAGAGAATGCCAAGAGTGAAGCAGTATCAGAGCAAAACGAGCTACTTTGAAGAACCAGAATATAACACATATTTACACTTGGTTCATACTTTTTTACTACAAACATAATTCACATGAGTTCATTCATAGGTTTGATGCCCTCAGTGTCAGTCTACTATTTTGATGGTCATGAAGATAAAAAACTCTTGAGATGGGTGGGTGTGTCCAAACTTTTGGTCTGTACTGTGAGTCTTGTAAAGCAAAAAACAAACAAACAAACAAAGACGTTGCTAACATTTGATTCTCTGAAACTGGATTTGGAAAAAACGCACAGTTCGATTGAGATGTGTCACTGCGGATGCTTTTTAATGAGATAATTGCAGCTGTCAGCAGAGATTGTGATGTGATGGATGTGTGTGTTTGTCTCTGTGTGTGTGTGTGTCTCTGTGTGTGTGTGTCTGTATGTGTGTGTGTGTGTTACATAAGGCTTTCATTAGTGATAATATTATGCAAAAGAGAAGAGTTCATTCCACAGAACATGGTCATTGATACTCACGGTTTTATATGACTGGATCTCTATGGAAATGTTTAGTAGAGACCAGAGAGAGTCCAGAGAGAGACCAGAGAGAGTCCAGAGAGAGACCAGAGAGAGTCCAGAGAGAGACCAGAGAGAGTCCAGAGAGAGACCAGAGAGAGACCAGAGAGAGACCAGAGAGAGACCAGAGAGAGACCAGAGAGAGACCAGAGAGAGGCCAGAGAGAGACCAGAGAGAGACCAGAGAGACCAGAGAGAGTCCAGAGAGAGACCAGAGAGAGTCCAGAGAGAGGCCAGAGAGAGACCAGAGAGAGTCCAGAGAGAGACCAGAGAGAGACCAGAGAGAGACCAGAGAGAGACCAGAGAGAGACCAGAGAGAGTCCAGAGAGAGACCAGAGAGAGTCCTGAGAGAGACCAGAGAGAGTCCAGAGAGAGACCAGAGAGAGTCCAGAGAGAGACCAGAGAGAGACCAGAGAGAGACCAGAGAGAGACCAGAGAGAGACCAGAGAGAGACCAGAGAGAGACCAGAGAGAGACCTGAGAGAGGCCAGAGAGAGACCAGAGAGAGACCAGAGAGACCAGAGAGAGTCCAGAGAGAGACCAGAGAGAGTCCAGAGAGAGGCCAGAGAGAGACCAGAGAGAGTCCAGAGAGAGACCAGAGAGAGACCAGAGAGAGACCAGAGAGAGACCAGAGAGACCAGAGAGAGTCCAGAGAGAGACCAGAGAGAGACCAGAAAGAGACCAGAGAGAGACCAGAGAGAGACCAGAGAGACCAGAGAGAGACCAGAGAGAGACCAGAGAGAGACCAGAGAGAGACCAGAGAGAGTCCAGAGAGAGACCAGAGAGAGTCCAGAGAGAGACCAGAGAGAGTCCAGAGAGAGACCAGAGAGAGACCAGAGAGAGACCAGAGAGAGACCAGAGAGAGACCTGAGAGAGGCCAGAGAGAGACCAGAGAGAGACCAGAGAGACCAGAGAGAGTCCAGAGAGAGACCAGAGAGAGTCCAGAGAGAGGCCAGAGAGAGACCAGAGAGAGTCCAGAGAGAGACCAGAGAGAGACCAGAGAGAGACCAGAGAGAGACCAGAGAGACCAGAGAGAGTCCAGAGAGAGACCAGAGAGAGACCAGAAAGAGACCAGAGAGAGACCAGAGAGAGACCAGAGAGACCAGAGAGAGACCAGAGAGAGACCAGAGAGAGACCAGAGAGAGGCCAGAGAGAGACCAGAGAGAGACCAGAGAGAGACCAGAGAGAGACCAGAGAGAGACCAGAGAGAGGCCAGAGAGAGACCAGAGAGAGACCAGAGAGAGGCCAGAGAGAGACCAGAGAGAGACCAGAGAGACGCCAGAGAGAGACCAGAGAGAGACCAGAGAGAGACCAGAGCGAGACCAGAGAGAGACCAGAGAGAGACCAGAGAGACGCCAGAGAGAGACCAGAGCGAGATCAGAGAGAGACCAGAGAGAGACCAGAGAGAGGCCAGAGAGAGACCAGAGAGAGACCAGAGAGACACCAGAGAGAGACCAGAGAGAGAGACCAGAGAGAGACCAGAGAGAGATCAGAGAGAGACCAGAGAGAGGCCAGAGAGAGACCAGAGAGAGACCAGAGAGACGCCAGAGAGAGACCAGAGAGAGACCAGAGAGAGACCAGAGAGAGATCAGAGAGAGACCAGAGAGACAGAGAGAGACCAGAGAGAGACCTGAGAGAGACCAGAGACACACCAGAGAGAGACCAGAGGGACCAACACCATGTTAAACTTTAACCTCAACCTATCGATCAGTTTTATATTTTGGTTCTCATGAGAGTTCGGTTCCCCAGACCCAGAACTGGTCCCCTTTAATCCGGGTGGTGATGTCACGTCTTTGGCCGTGAGCCCTGGAGATCTGGACCAGCTGGTGTCTCCGTGGGGGACTGTGGACCGCCTCAGTCCCACCGGGTGAGACCATCTGTGGGGGAGAGCGCTGTGCCTCCCCCCTCAGTTATAAATAATCAGCTGGATTTATAGTATGGACAGAACGGATCTATAACACCCGAAAACACACACATGGTTCTTTGATTTATAGTTCCAACTGTAGCTGTAGCAGCTGCAGAGTTTTGTTGGCTTTTATGATGAGAAATATGGTAATATCACTGTTTAGAATCAATGTTTCAGTTTGTGGCAAGACCAGAGAGAGACCAGAGGGACCGGAATGAGGCCTGGGAGAGACCGGAGAGAGGCCATTTTGTTCTATTTGGTTAAATATAACAAAATGGGATTATTATTCTGGTCTTTCTCTGGTCTCTCTCTGGTCTGTCTCTGGTCTCTCTCTGGTTTCTCTGGTCTCTCTCTGGTCTCCCTCTGGTCTCTTTCTGGCTTCTCTCTGGTCTGTCTCTGGTCTCTCTCTGGTTTCTCTGGTCTCTCTCTGGTCTCCCTCTGGTCTCTTTCTGGCTTCTCTCTGGTCTCTCTCTGGTCTCTGGTCTCTCTCTCTGGTCTCTCGGCCTCTCTCTGGTCTCTCTCTGGTCTCTCTCTGGTCTGTCTCTGGTCTCTTTCTGGTCTCTCTCTGGTCTCTCTCTGGTCTCTCTCTGGTCTCTCTCTGGTCTGTCTCTGGTCTCTTTCTGGTCTCTCTCTGGTCTCTCTCTGGTCTCTCTCTGGTCTCTCTGAGTGAGTTTTCTTTATAAAGAGTTATGGTGCGTTCACAGAGCCAACGCTGGAACGCTGACGCCTCGCGCACCAGACGCATATTCTCTAGGTTTCAGATGCAGGGGTCTTCAGACTAGAAGTCCTGCTGCTGTGGCGCGCGCCGGAAGTGGCGGAAATGACGGGCGGACTTTGATGCTAACGGAGTTAAGCTAGTGGCTTTTTGTGTAAAGTTCTTCTCCAATAATGCAGCTCTGCAGCGTCTGTGTGTCTGAAACCTTCACAGATTTTATATAACAGCAGTATGTGTTCACGGAGGTGACTTTATATAACAGCAGTATGTGTTCACGGAGGTGACTTTATATAACAGTAGTATGTGTTCACGGTGACTTTATATAACAGCAGTATGTGTTCACGGTGACTTTATATAACAGCAGTATGTGTTCACGGAGGTGACTTTATATAACAGCAGTATGTGTTCACGGAGGTGACTTTATATAACGGCAGTATGTGTTCACGGAGGTGACTTTATATAACAGCAGTATGTGTTCACGGAGGTGACTTTATATAACAGCAGTATGTGTTCACGGAGGTGACTTTATATAACAGTAGTATGTGTTCACGGAGGTGACTTTATATAACAGCAGTATGTGTTCACAGAGGTGACTTTATATAACAGCAGTATGTGTTCACAGAGGTGACTTTATATAACAGCAGTATGTGTTCATGGAGGTGACTTTATATAACAGCAGTATGTGTTCACAGAGGTGACTTTATATAACAGCAGTATGTGTTCACAGAGGTGACTTTATATAACAGCAATATGTGTTCATGGAGGTGACTTTATATAACAGCAGTAGGTGTTCACGGAGGTGCGGGATAAGTTTATTTTATTATTAAACAGTATTTCCGTATCAAGAACACACTCGAAGCAGTTGCATAAAGTCACAGGAGCATGAAAACTCACATGTTCACAAGCACTATGTCCACCATTGTCAACCCTGGTTTAGTCCTGGTTTAGCCCTGGTTTAGTCCTGGTTTAGTCCTGTTTTGGCTGTTTACAGTATGTTCAGTCTGCTCGCTCAGTCCGCTAATGTCTCTGTGACCACTTAGCAGCTCTCTGATTGGTCGCTGCACGAACGTCCAAGGAAATGTTCAGGAATATTTTTTTCCCGCATGCGACGATTTTCCGCTCCTGCTCCACCCCTTCGACTTTCCCACGCAGTCCGTGCGTCTCTACCATAGACTGTAAATATGAACGGACAGAGTCACGCCTATCTCCGCCGTTCTAACTAATGGGCCAAAAATGTGCTCTACTGGAGCTATCCAAAATGGCCGCGAGTGGTCCCGCCCACAAGAAAATTGTGAAAAAACTTCTAAAGTCGAGTGACTTCTAAAGTCCACAGCGAGTAAACTAGACTGGTCCAGAACACTCAGCATTGACACACATGTGGAACGGAGCTTTGGGCCAAGAGACAACTTTTGGTCCATCCTGTAAAGGTGTTTTCGAGAGGTAAGAAGATGCTATATGCTAGCATTGGCTAATTTTTATTCCGGGTCCACCCCCACAGGCCCGGGGTGGTATTGCAGCATGTCAGCGCACACAATTTTTGCAACTTTTGAGCCGGGACCTGCCCCCACTGATTCTTGGCCCAAAGTTCCGTTCCACATGTGTGTCAATGCTGAGGGGAGTGGATTTTTTTGGACCACTCTGGTTTAGTTGTTGTGAATTTTTGAAGTCTCTCGTTCAAATGAATGGAGCTGCGCTGGCTGACGCATGCACAGATGCGTTTTTTCACAATTTTCTTGTGGGCGGGACCACTCGCGGCCATTTTGGATAGCTCCAGTAGAGCACATTTTTGGTCCATTAGTTAGAATGGCGGAGATAGGCGTGACTCTGTTCGTTAATATATACAGTCTATGGTTAATATATACGGTCTATGGTCTCTACAGAGCAGTCCGTGCGTCTCTACAGAGCAGTCTGTGCGTCTCTACAGAGCAGTCCGTGCGTCTCTACAGAGCAGTCCGTGCGTCTCTACAGAGCAGTCCGTGCGTCTCTACAGAGCAGTCTGTGCAACTCTACAGAGCAGTCCGTGCAACTCTACAGAGCAGTCAGTCTCTACAGAGCAGTCCGTGCGTCTCTACAGAGCAGTCCGTGTGTCTCTACAGAGCAGTCCGTGCGTCTCTACAGAGCAGTCTGTGCGTCTCTACAGAGCAGTCCGTGCGTCTCTACAGAGCAGTCCGTGCGTCTCTACAGAGCAGTCTGTGCGTCTCTACAGAGCAGTCCGTGTGTCTCTACAGAGCAGTCCGTGTGTCTCTACAGAGCAGTCCGTGCGTCTCTACAGAGCAGTCCGTGCGTCTCTACAGAGCAGTCTGTGCGTCTCTACAGAGCAGTCTGTGCGTCTCTACAGAGCAGTCCGTGTGTCTCTACAGAGCAGTCTGTGCGTCTCTACAGAGCAGTCCGTGCGTCTCTACAGAGCAGTCTGTGCGTCTCTACAGAGCAGTCCGTGCGTCTCCACAGAGCAGTCCGTGCGTCTCTACAGAGCAGTCCGTGCGTCTCTACAGAGCAGTCCGTGCGTCTCTACAGAGCAGTCCGTGCGTCTCTACAGAGCAGTCCGTGCGTCTCTACAGAGCAGTCCGTGCGTCTCTACAGAGCAGTCCGTGCGTCTCTACAGAGCAGTCCGTGCGTCTCTACAGAGCAGTCTGTGCGTCTCTACAGAGCAGTCTGTGCGTCTCTACAGAGCAGTCTGTGTGTCTCTACAGAGCAGTCTGTGCGTCTCTACAGAGCAGTCCGTGCGTCTCTACAGAGCAGTCTGTGTGTCTCTACAGAGCAGTCTGTGCGTCTCTACAGAGCAGTCTGTGCGTCTCTACAGAGCAGTCCGTGCGTCTCTACAGAGCAGTCCGTGCGTCTCTACAGAGCAGTCTGTGCGTCTCTACAGAGCAGTCCGTGCGTCTCTACAGAGCAGTCCGTGCGTCTCTACAGAGCAGTCCGTGCGTCTCTACAGAGCAGTCTGTGCGTCTCTACAGAGCAGTCCGTGTGTCTCTACAGAGCAGTCCGTGCAACTCTACAGAGCAGTCTGTGCGTCTCTACAGAGCAGTCTGTGCCTCTCTACAGAGCAGTCCGTGCGTCTCTACAGAGCAGTCCGTGCGTCTCTACAGAGCAGTCTGTGCGTCTCTACAGAGCAGTTCGTGCGTCTCTACAGAGCAGTCTGTGCGTCTCTACAGAGCAGTCTGTGCGTCTCTACAGAGCAGTCCGTGCGTCTCTACAGAGCAGTCCGTGCGTCTCTACAGAACAGTCCGTGCGTCTCTACAGAGCAGTCTGTGCGTCTCTACAGAGCAGTCCGTGCGTCTCTACAGAGCAGTCCGTGCGTCTCTACAGAGCAGTCCGTGCGTCTCTACAGAGCAGTCCGTGCGTCTCTACAGAGCAGTCCGTGCGTCTCTACAGAGCAGTCCGTGCGTCTCTACAGAGCAGTCCGTGCGTCTCTACAGAGCAGTCCGTGTGTCTCTACAGAGCAGTCTGTGCGTCTCTACAGAGCAGTCCGTGTGTCTCTACAGAGCAGTCTGTGCGTCTCTACAGAGCAGTCTGTGCGTCTCTACAGAGCAGTCTGTGCGTCTCTACAGAGCAGTCTGTGTGTCTCTACAGAGCAGTCTGTGTGTCTCTACAGAGCAGTCTGTGTGTCTCTACAGAGCAGTCTGTGTGTCTCTACAGAGCAGTCTGTGTGTCTCTACAGAGCAGTCTGTGTGTCTCTACAGAGCAGTCTGTGTGTGTATTCCAAGACGCACATGCATTTTGACGCTCGAAAGCGCGTCACCCCTGACTTTGCATTAAAGCCGACGCTGCATGATCCGGTCTGAACGCAGCATTAGTCACTTTGCTGTGATCTACAATTTATGTGTAATTATACATCAAAGGCTCAATAATTAGTTTAGAGTTTAGGTTAGAGCTCATACTTTATGTAAACCATGTGGAGGAGGGAGGAGGAGCCAGACAACACAGGGAGAAGCCTATCCTGGTCCTGGTCCTGGTCCATGTCCTGGTTCTGGTCCTGGCCCTGGTCTTTGTCCTCTCTCTGGTCTCTCTCTGGTGTCTCTTTGGTCTCTCTCTGGTGTCTCTCTGGTCTCTCTCTGGTCTCTCTCTGGTCTCTCTCCGGTCTCTCTCCGGTTTTCTCTGGTCTCTCTCTGGTCTCTCTCTGGTCTCTCTCCGGTCTCTCTCCGGTTTTCTCTGGTCTCTCTGGGGTGTCTTTCTGGTCCCTCTCTGGTTTCTCTGGTCCCTCTCCGTTTTTCCTCTGCTCTCCCGCTGGAATACAGTATCTCTCTGGTTTC